CTCTCTCTCTCTCTCTCTCTCTCTCTCTCTCTCTTTCTCTCTTTCTTCACGAGGCACTATATGTATATTCTGCCTTTGTTGCTCGCTTATTTTCAATAAGTATCTCTCTCTCGATCCAATGGTGAGGCAATATTTGTGTATTCTGCTTTCTATGGTCGCTTAATTTCAAATTGTATGTCATTGTTCTACTGCAGGCATAAGAATGTTTTGATGCTAACAGTGATCAAGAATTGTTGATCAGTTATGATGTGTGTTTTCCCTGTGAGTAACGCCACTGATAAAATTGACATGGATGGTACATTTGATTGCTGTTAAATTTTTTCTGTTCCTACAGGTTTTTTCGACCTGTTTGCAGTGGTTGATTTTAAGGATTACTATATGGGATTATCTGATTTGTCTGAGATACAAAATACCGTCTTTCTTTACTCAATGAATTTTGCATGCTTATGCTCTTCATCAACTGTGACAAGGATCCTTGACATCCAAAGGGTTTTAGATCCATTGTGAGGAAACAATGATGATACAAATCTAAATTGCCCATCATGAAGATTCTGAAAACTCACGACCAAAGACATATGAGTACATATTTAGAACTCGTTTTAGCATTGCACGATGGAAAGAGAGAGTTCTGCTTGCACCGAGAATTCTAAATCATTTCGCTCATTTATTGCATTGTTATTCATAGATTTAGTCAGTTCATGTTATTAAGTGCTGAAAGATTGACATCTTTACCACCATTCTAAAAGATCATTTAGCTCATTTATTGCATTAGGTTTCATAGATTTAGTCTGGCTTTCAATTCGTGTTATTGAGTGCTAAAAGATTGCATCTTTACCGTTTTTGTTTTACTCACGACACCTGAGAGAAGTATTCGTCTGCCGGTGGAAGGATCCTTTATAGACTCTTGAGTCCACATAGTGGCCAGAAAAATAATTAGGCAAGTGATGTGGGACAATTAGAAGAGATTTCTATATTTGTAAATATGAACTACACTTCATGCACACAACTTTTACCAATGAAAGAGCTCTAACGGAAGTGAGATACTCCCTGAGAAAAAAATTGTTTGCCTGCTTTGCGTAATTTTTTTT